TTTATTGAGAATCAGATTTTTTTGTTTTTTTTTTAAGGAGGGGACAGTTCTCTACTATAAAGTGTTGAACTCTCACTGGCTAACAGTGAGTCACCTGGGAGGAACCTCATTGGTTACGTAATCCATCCATCATGTCTGAACAGTGAAACAACAATTCTCACATTCCGCCTTCCCATTCATCTACTTTCCCTCTGACTGTTTTCCGCTCAGGAAATCCAGCAACAGAATTCAAAATATCCCCATAGGAATGCTTCCTCCAGCCAACAATCCTCTAGCTTTACATAAGCAGGACAAATTGTGATGAATGATGTAACCATCCACATAGGCTGCTACCAAAGTGAAATAGTATTCCAGTTTGGGAATTAATGGAGACTGGGTTTGCTTGCAGTGAAAGAGTTTATATGGAAAGAGTTTGGAAAGTGTTCCCGAGAATGGAGCTGGAGTCGGTGCTATTGGTGGTCTCCCAAGTCATCATTGCTAATATTGATCCTAGAGGTCGGCCTTTGACCTCTCCCACCATATCCAGTGTTCTCCGAGAACATCTGCGGCTAAGCTTCACTAGGGTCAGAGTACAGAACTGAAACACAGAGCCAGTAACACATCACTGTCCTCCGCACATATTCATGTGAGGTATTCCTGTGAAATGAGTTTGAGTATTAATTTCCTACTGGCAAAACAAAGAAGACAAAACATTTGGGAAACTCTTTATTTTGATGCTTTAGACATTCTACTAACTATGAGAAACAATAATGATTTGACGCAGCAACTCTATGTTTTGCTTGTTTTTCGTTATAAGTGAGAGATGATAAAGTAGCTTAAAGGGTTAGTTCACCCAAAAATGATAATTATGTCATTAATGACTCGCCCTCACGTCGTTCCAAGCCCGTAAGATCTCCGTTCATCTTCAGATATTTTAGATTTAGTCCGAGAGCTTTCTGTCCTCTTTTGAAAATGTATGTACGGTATTCTGTCCTTGTCCAGAAAGGTAATAAAGACATCATCAAAGTAGTCCATGTGACATCAGTGGGTTAGTTATAATGTTTTGAAGCATCGGAAATACATTTTGGTCTAAAAATAACAAAAACTACGACTTTATTCAGCATTGTATTGTCTTCCGGTTCTGTTGTGGATCCGCATTCAGTGACGCTTTTGACTTTTGACTAAGTTTTTGGGTCACACCATTTCGATGCTCCACTTTAGACATTCTACAAACTATCAGTAACTTTACATGTGAAGTAGCAGTCATTAGAGTATTAGTAGACTGTCCGCTTAATATCTGCTAAATCTTTATTTCGATGCTCCCCAACAGACTATACTCAGTATAAATAACTTTGCAACTACGTCAACTTATTCTACTAACGCGAACCCCAAACCTAACAGTCTATCTATGTAGTTACAAAGTTACTTATAGTTAGTAGAATGTCTAAAGTGGATCATCGAAATAATGTAATCAACCTTTGCGATAAATAAATAATAATAATAATACTTGCACCATTATACTTTCAGGTCTTAATCATCAAAATATATATATTTTTATATTCAGTTTTAATAGCTGCCCATGTATAGATGTAATGTAGAAATGTCACAGATGCATATTAATGAAAATTAGCCTCTACATGACAAAGGATTTAGTATTACAGTTACCAAACCTGTCCTACAGAAACTAGCGTACAGAAGAATAATATTTACTCTTACTGACGGAAGGGTTATTGTTAGATTGGTTGATAAGATCACAAAAGGACACACAATACTGACCATAATTATGAACAGTAACTAAGAACATTCTTGCATCAGTCTAACAACAAACTACATGATAAAACTCTTAGAATTCAGCAATAGAAATAATATCTTTTAAATATCTTTTTTCTTTTTTTTTTTGAGGGGCAATTATAATTCTATAGAGAACGTATTGTTGTGTCCTGCTGGAATAGGCAAGTACAGCCCTTAGCTTTTTCTGACATGATCATTTCGTTAAAAGAACAATGAATCGATACTATAACTGAAACTTTGCCTGACTTACTTTAATGCAGATCATCACAGTGATGTCAGACTGAACAGAGAACCACAACTTAACAGAAAAATACTTCCACAAGCAATACAATAGAATATTTCAACTTTTAGAGGAACCACTTAAAACAGCTTTAGTTAATTAGAGCTACAAGTCCAAACACATTTCCTAGTTTTGGTATATTTTTTAAAAAAAAAAGTCAAATTCTTCATTGGGTACTTATCCTCATTAACTTTTCTTATCCTCAAATCCTGTCATCATTTACTCACAATCAAGTTGTTCCAAACCTGTACGGCTTTCTTTCTTCTGCGAAACCAAATATATTTTGAGGAATGTTGTTACCATTGACTATGGAAGAATTACTATTTTAATATTTTTGAAAAGTCTCTGATGCTCATCAAGCCTGCATTTATTTGATCAAATATACAGAAAAACCATTAGTACTGTGACATAATATTTTAATTTAAAATAACAGTTTTCTATTGTAATATACTTTAAAGTATCATTTATTTCTGTTAAAATGGCTGATAATAGCTGATGAAAATTCAGGTTTGCATCAGTGTCACATGATCCTTCAGAAATCATAACATGCGGATTTGATACTCAGCTATTATCAATGTTGGAAACAGTTGTCCTGCTTAATATTTTTTTTCAATTACATATACTTTTTTTCAGGAGTCTATGATGAATAAAAACTTAACAAGAACAGCATTTATTTAAAATAGAAATATTTTGCAACAATATACACTGCCATTCATAAGATTGAGGCCAGGATTTTTTTGAAAGAAATAATTTCGATATAAAAGGATGTATTAAATTGATATAAAGTGATAGTAAATATTTGTATTGTAAGAAAATGTTTCTATTTTGAATAAATGCTGTATTTGCTGTACCTTATTCATCAATGAACCCTTAATACAATAAATTAATGCACCGTCTCCAACATTGATGATAACCGAGTATCAAATCAGCATATTTGAACGATTTTTGTAGGATCATGCAACACTAAAGACTGGAGTAATTATTTTTAATTGTAATAATATTTCACAATATATATATATATATATATATATATATATATATATAAATGCAGGATTGATAAGCATAGGAGTTTTTCAAAAACATTAAAAAAAGTGTAGTCAGACAGGTTTGGAGCGCATGAGAGTAAGTAAATGATGAAAGTAAGTAAATTTTAATTTTTAGGAGAACCATTTCTTTAATATCCACAGTTAAACTGCACATGGAGGTCTTGTTTCTTCTTTTGCACTTGTTAAAGATTTGAAGTGGTTTCTCGTTTACGCTGGTATTGTGAGGGGTGCATTTTTGCCCTCTTACACATAGAGACGACTATTAATAGTGTCCGTGTCATCAGCAGAGCCACATGAGCACCACCCAGCTCTGGCCTGACATCACACTGACCACTTCCCTTTAGATATGACAACGAAACCAGCTCGGCACAAAAAGTTCCTGAGCAGGCAAACACACACGCACACACTGAGAATCTTATGAGAAACTGCTGATATGAAAATAGAGAGGAAACATTTGTTACTTTTTGCCTTCATTAATCATGTGTGTGTGTGTGTATATAACAAAGTACTAGGATACTTTCACATAACACAAGCATAAGAATTTTACATAATACACTATTTATATACACACACCTATATTTATATACTTTCTATTTAGAAAAAAAAAATACAATATTAAGCAACGGTTTTAATTTTTTCTTAAAGAAATCAGCGTATTAGAATGATTTCTGAAGGATCGTGATGCATTACCATCACAGGAATAAATGATGTCCAAATAGAAACATTTTAATTAGTAATGTTTTATATGAAAATGTTTTTACTGTATTATTTGCAGCCTTGGTGTATGTATGTGTGCATGTGCATTATGTCGGCTAAAAAAAGGTCATGAATGAAATCATCCACACTTTTGGCCTCCACAGTTATTCATCACACTACATGCCAATGAAGAAAGATAAGACGCAGCCATAAAACACATATAGTGTGACAATAACCTGCTTTGTAATTCAAACAGTCCTGATCTTGTAAATGTGACTAACAAACATGCAAATGCATGATTTTTGGTATAACAGCGAGTCCCAACAAGTTGGACCACAACAGTAGCTGCTTTTTCCCTCAGGATTGGTTACAGTATCTGCTCCCATGCCGTTAGTTCAGTATTTCTCACTTGCTAAAACAACCGTCAGTATGTCAGCAGTCAAGCTCATTTCCGGCATTGCGAGCGGCTGATGTGGCCCTTGTGGCTTCGACTGATTTGAATACCGTCGAGTGCGAGCGAAGAAACAGCCTAGCGGTTTAACAATCATTCAAGATGGCGTGCAAAGCAACAAGTGAGCACAGCACTTGTTATTAACAGCTGTGTCAGCAAGAGCAGCATTTGTGGCGTCCAGCGCCGCCCGCCCATTACTCTTCTCTGTGTGCAATAGTTTAGCAGCTGTGCGGCCTTTAGAGAGTTAGCGGGAGACATCCTGTTTTTACAGTGGGATTTGCTTGGGGGGGTGTAGAGCTGACCTGTTTCCAAACGCCACTTCAAAACAGCTTATTTTGGGAGATTAACTACAACAAAATATTAGTGACAAGAATACATATGATTAAATCACTCACTGAAAGTGTGCCATTTCACCTATGTTCCCTTTAGTAAGGTGTCTGGACTCCTGTGTGCAAAAGCACATGATGGGGTCAAACATTAAACCCAACAAACATTCTTTACAATCTTATCTGCTGTGGATTCCAAAGTGCTTGGATTCCCAGGTTTGGAAAATTTTGTGCAAATATATATAAACGGGCCTCAAACTCCAGGAAAGCAAACAGAAAAGATTTTCCATGTGCATTACCTAGAACAAAACGAAAAAGAATTTTCTAGCAATGCTTAACACTCTTTCCATCTGACTTTGGTGGAAACTCCCATGCATTGATAGGCATCAAAGACAGCATGAATTGGTCAGAACAAGAAGGCACTAAAAGCATTAAAATGACTAAGTTTAATTTGAAGTTGCAATTACATAGCTGTTTTCTGTACATGTTTCTCAAAATGATTAAAGCAAAGAGAGGAAATGAATAGAATGAAACATTTCTCTCTAAAATCAAAACTTCAGTCCACTCTACCGCAAGCACTACACTTGAAATGCAAGAATGTAACAATCCCACATTTTAGAGACATATGAGTGCAAGTCAATGCAATTAGCCTTAATGGTGTTAGGGCTACAAAAGGAAACCCTCGATCGATGTTTTAAAATAAATGAAGTATCTTTAACATTGAACTTGTTTTGGGCTACACTGCAATGCAGACAAAAAACTTTCAGTGGATTTTTCAAGCTTTCGAGAGCACAAGACATCCCCCGTTTCGATTATGCTGTTTGAATATAAGTTATGTCTGTGGTAGTAAGCCCGCCTTCCACAAATACTCTTGCATAAAATGTTCCATGGATTCATTTACATGTTGATTATCATTGGATGTCAGTGATATCATAACTATGGCACAGTTTAAAACCTGTTACACCACATTAGCTACCTACGATTAGTATGCTACAACCTCCTCAGCAAAACAGTGCTTTGCTACAGTGGATGCCTGGACAGTTTTGATACTTGGTATAAAATGCCTTTAACACACTATTGGACTGTTTGCTGGAGAAAAAACTTCATTTTTTGACTCTGAAATCTCAAAGAAAGAAGCTGTAGAAGAGACAACAAATATAGAAAACCTACAATCAAACAAAAAAATAGATAATCTTCATTCAGGAATGCTTTATCATGTTAAGCAACAGTCCGAGGTGTGTGTGACACGGCTGTGTCACAGTAGACGGGAAACTAAAAGCAAGCCAAACCCATTACGTTATTTCAAAAAAGGGTCATTTGAAAACTAACCAAAAATAAATGTTAACTCTAAATCAAAACAGCACAAATATTGGGTGATGTCATCTGATTTTCCCCATATTGAGTTTATTTGTCCTAAACAGTCAGTGCCAGTATCATTAAGACTTGTAGTTAGACGTTAACCAAGTTAAGCCTTCGTACAGTCCATCTCCGGTGGTCGCACATGAGGGCTGCACGTACCAATTCCTATCTCGGATGCGCGTCAGTCCCAGCTTCTCCTGGATCTCGTGCGGCTTCATGGCGTCCGGCAGGTCTTGCTTGTTGGCGAAAATCAAAATGATGGCGTCCCGCATCTCCCGGTCGTTGATGATGCGGTGGAGTTCCTGCCTGGCCTCGTCTATGCGATCTCTATCAGCACAATCCACCACAAAAATTAACCCCTGTGTGCCTGTGTAGTAATGTCGCCAGAGGGGACGGATTTTATCTTGTCCGCCCACATCCCACACGTTGAACTTGACGTTTTTGTAGGTGACCGTCTCCACGTTGAAACCGACAGTCGGGATGGTGGTCACGGACTGGCCGAGTTTCAACTTATAGAGGATGGTGGTTTTCCCTGCGGCATCCAGACCGAGCATCAATATTCTCATCTCCTTGTTGCCAAATATCTTTGACAGCATCTTCCCCATTTTGCAAACTGTTCATAAATGGCTACTTCCCTCCAAAAGAAAAAAAAAAGTTTTATATGGGTAGGTCAATGGGGGAAATGAATGGGTTTTTTCTTTATGATTTCTTCTTGGGAATGTCAAAGTTAGAAGTGAGCAGAACACGTGTTTAAAGATATCACGCTGCTGGGCATAAAGTCAGTGTTATTAAATGTATTTCCAGCCGATACGGGCCACTGTTCAGCTGATTAAATGACAGTACTGAAAACTTTCAGTACTAGACGAAAAGGTCAAAGCTCGATTTGCAGCGCTTTTACTTCGGTTGTAGGGAGGTGCCCGTTTGAAAAATGCCACACGATTAATCCACAGAGATGCGACAAAAGCAGCGATTTTTCGATGGTTTTCCGTGGCTGTTAAGTGCTGAGGCCTCTTTAAGAGCCTGCGGTCTTTCAAGACTTCCTCTTGGCGTGTGAATGTCCGTCTCGGGGGCTTTCTCACGTCCGTCCCACAAAAATGTAACCGGATAGCAGCTGAAGACGTTCAGAGCCTCGGCGGAAAAGCGTTCATCTGGCCGGCCGGTAGGTCTGTCATCTGGACCGTCTGAAGCGGAGCAGCATCGATTTCAACCGTCCTGAATTCGACTGTCTCACGTGTCCCTGAGAGACAAGAGAGACTCAGAGGGAGTGCCAGAAAAGAGCAACTTAGCCTGCTAGCTTATTAGCCGTCCGAACAACCCACACAAAATCGCCACTACAGACTTTTTACCCATATTTTCGACAGGATATGTAAAATATAACATTTAACAAGTTATTTTCATTCATTTTAGAGCGACTAAATGCGTTTTAGTTACCTGCGGAGGGCCACCATTCTCTAGCAGTATCAACCCCGGTGTTCACTCCTAAAATCAGCCGAGTTCTTCTGTGTGAACTGTGAAACTGACTACGTCAACGCAAACCAGCGGAAATGGCCGTTACTGCCCGTATTTCATAATAAAGGTCTTTGCAAAGGTCAAAACCCCACGTTCTTGTTCTGGATTATCTCTTTTTTACTGATTTTTTTTATTATGTAATAATAACAAAAAACTCCACTCTAAAAACACATTTCAAAATACTCATAGGCTACTATATTCAGTATCACACAATTTGAGAAAACTGACAAAACGTGTTGCTTAGCAATAGAGACAGTAACCTATTAGTTATTACGATACAATCAACAATAACTGACAAATCTACTCTATAGGGGGAACTGAAACAGATCTTAATCAATAAACCATAAAATATTTGTTATGAATTGTGATGAGAAAAAGTGGACTGTGCTTTTGAATGGGTCGACTTGTTTAAAGGGACAAGTCAAAATTACAGTTCTGCCATTATTCACCCTCATGTCGTTTTAAAACTACACAATACAGTGTGAAAACAACAGGAGATATTTTGAAAAATATTGTTAGCCAAATCATTCTGGTGACCATTGACTTGTAACAAACAAACAAGGCATCCACCTAGACTCATAACTCATGAAGCCTGAAGTCAGTCACTTGTCACCATCTACTGGTGTAACAAAGTAACCCACAGAAAGAGTCACATCCATCAATCCCCACATCTCTAGAAGAACAAACATGAAAATTGAGAGGGATACAGTACAAACAGTAAAAAGCCAGTGCTGTTTGTCTGAAATTCAGCACTCTTGGAACTAATGACTGGAAGTAATGACTGGAACTAACATACGCAATATAATAATATCTGAATAAAGGCCCATTCACACCAAGGATGATGGAGTCCACACTGTATGACGATAACAATGATGAAAGTCCGTTGGTCTATTACAGTTATAGTAAGTTATCTTTAGTAATTGTTCTTGGTGTGAACGGGCCTTAAGAAAGAGCAAAAGGTTAGTGGCTTATGCAAAATCACCCAAAGTTCTGTTCTGGGACTGTCTACATTCTTACAACTTTCAATGAGTCAAAAATATTTGTTATGTATTGCTCTCTCATTGATCCATGTCTCTGCAACAAATAAGAGAGTAAATGTTATATTTACAGTGTGTATGTGGTGTGATGGAAAAACATATACAGGCTAAAATATTTAAACTTTTATTTTTATTTTTTTACAGGACTAACATTTAAAATTTGAAAATAATATCAGCAGTATTTTTATTATTATTATTATTTTTTTTTTTTAGCAAGTTTGCTGTTTCAGAAACTCTTGATATATATATACAGTATATATATATATATATATATATATATATATATATATATATATATATATATATATATATACACATATATACACACACACCCTGGCTATACAGTTATTCTGAATTTAATAGTCCCATAATAAGTAATCAATGATGAACTAACAATAAACCACCAACTTCAACTCCAGAAAACTGACACAATGATCACAAGTAGTACTTCATGTTATTTTGCTGTGTTCTGTATTTCTATCCTTTATAAACTTTTTTGATGAAATTTGTCTGAGGTTCTCCGGCCATGATTAAAGCAGGCATTGCCTGGAGTCTGCAGTGCTGTGCAACAGGTTAATATAAGACTAGAGATCTTAATCACAAAGTGATAGTGTTCAAAAAGGTCGAGAGGTCACTGTCATACAACTCAGAGTGAGACTGTAGGCGGGGTTCCAATGCGGTCAGGTAACTATAATTATTTAGGCATCATATGCGGGCAGAGTAGATGCACTTAGGCGTCAACCAACGCGGTCAGAGTGGGAATAATATTGTGGGTGTCTAGGACACCCGGTTTAACTTAAGTCAGGTTTGTAAATTGTAGGGGACTTTATTTTTTACCACAGTGGCACAGAGGTCAATTCATGAATGAACTTCAACTAAAATTACATGGGTTCTTCTTGCTTGGTAAGTCTAAGGATTGAGTTATTAAACATTATTTATTGTTATTAATTCACTGTTGTGATGACAATGCGTTAATTTGTGTATCAGCCAGCATATCAGTGTTCAAAATCGATGCGCTGTCTCTTTAAGAAACTGCGTCGTTTGGTTTTGGGATATAGACTAGTGATGGGAAGTTCGGATCATTTTACTGATTCGGATCTTTGAGTCTCGTTCAGTAAAATGAACGAATCTTTTATCGAGTCATTTCGTTCATTTCATAATTATATAATTAAAATGTCATGTTAAATATCCCATACATCTAGTACTTACGAAAATCTTAATTACATTTGTAAAAATAACATAATAGGGTAATGCAGCCAAAGCCAAAAGCAACTGAAATAACTGTAACGTTAGCTATTAATTAGTTGCTGGGTCTAAAGTTCAGGCTATGCAGTCTGACCCTGTTATAGTTCACCTCACCTCCTGATCCGAGACGTTCTTTGCTTTGCAACTTCATATTTATCAGGTTTGTTCTCCTCCTCTCATGTCTCGAGACGTTAGCTGTTGACTCGTCAGTGTCTGACTCTGATCTGTGCTGTCTGCTGGCCGTGCCATGCGATATAGCAGGACCGGAAAGATTAAGGATTAGTTCATCTCTCGAGTTCGGGTTCGGCCGGGTCCGAGTCTTTCGTTCTTCCTGTCAGTCCCATAGAGTCTATGCTGTCAGCACCGGAAAGAGAAATGATTAGTTCATCTCTCGAGTTCGGGTTCGGCGGGTCCGAGTCTTTCGTTCTTCCCGTCAGTCCCATTAAGTCTATGCTTTCAGTACCGGAAAGGGGAATGATTAGTTCATTTGAGTCTTCGGGTTTGAGTCCGTCGTTCTTTTCTCACGTGGCCACGGGTCTCGCATCAAATACAACATTAGATTCGTATTATTGACTGCGTCTGAATATTGTGTTATATAGGCATTAAAATACAAATGTTCAATAAACATTAACGTCCATTATTCCTTATTCCTTATTATTGTCCCTGTCCGTCTCTTTTCTATATTATGCATCTGTGGTGTGTTTTATTATATATTGTACATTAATTAACTACTATTATATTATACATCATCTACGTGCTTGTTTGTAAAAGGTTTGTGAATTAGTTTGTAAAAAGTTTGTGAATTTGGGTATTCAATACGGTGACAATTCACGTGACTAAAGAACGAAGGACTCAAACCCGAAGACTCAAATGAACTAATCATTCCTCTTTCCGGTGGTCTGACAGCATAGGCTCAATGGGACTGACAGGAAGAACGAAAGACTCGGACTCGAGACTCGAGAGATGAACTAATCATTTCTGTTTCCAGTACAGATTCAGAATCCATATGTTGCGCAATGCGCATGCGCGGGTAACACAAGATGAACGAATCACTCCCTGAGACAACTCGATAGTCCCGAGTCATATTAAAGATTCGTTCAAAATGAACGAATCGTTCATGAACGACACATCACTAATATAGACATACATTAGTGCGTCCGATATGGCGGAACGGAAACACACTACTACTGCTCGGTCTTCAACAAGCATGACCTCGCTGGCTCGAGCTCTTTCTCGCAGTAGGTTAAGTCAGCCTGATGTGTTTCAGTCGCAGAAATCTCTCAGCCGGAGCGCCACGGGTCAGAGCAGGAGGTTCTCCAGCAGCTCGGAGTCTCCTGATAACAGCCCAAATGTCGAGGCGAGGGTCCTAGTCATAAACACCGGCGGAACCATTGGCATGACGTATCATAATAACGGTAAACACTATTATCAGCTGCAGCGCTCACACACACCTGCCTGCATGAGGGTTCACATATGATTTACGAATAATATTGCTCACATTTAGTATTATTTTATGACATGTTTATGGGATTATTTGTTTTCTGATGTCAATAATAAAATCAACCCAATGATTTAGAGGGGGCAGTTTAAATTGTGCAGTTTAAATAACAATTATCTTTTGGATGAAAATGCCTTAATGCCGTTATATGTGATAAATATTAAACCAAGTTGAAGTGGCATCTGTAAATAAATGATGCTTTGCCTTTTTGGATCTAATTCCAAGTTTCTGAGCATGTAGGCAATGCCATGACTTAACGAATATGTAGGCTATTTATTTAATAAACTATATTATTATAACTAATATCTTTTTTATTTATTTTCAGAATAATATTGTGAACATTCTATATCTTACAATAAATGCCACTTGATTAAGCACAATTTATTTATGTTTACAATAAGGTTTCCTAGTCTGTGTTAAGTCAAAGCTACAATAACAGTAGGCTGCAATTAAACACGTGAGTGAGTGCTATAACATGAATTTATAAAAAATATAAAGATTTTAATGATTATCATTGAATATAATTTAATTGCATAAATTTCAAGCATGGCTTGTCCAGCCAATGGGGATTTTTTTGTTTTTGTTTGTTTCAACCAATTACTGCATCTTCAGTGGATGTATATTAGAAACAGGAATGGATTGCTCTGCTGAAAGATGAACACATGGTGACTTGATTATGTAAAGCAATAAGTGGAAATGGGAAGAGTGCTTTACGAGTGCTTGAAGAGGATGCTAATCTTGTTTTATGAATTAATTAGCAAATTCTTTGAATAGAATGGGTAAATATTTGTCTTCGGTAAACAGGTGTTTGTCTTTTCCGACACTGGCCTTAGAATTATTTCCTGCAAAATACTGTTTTTTTTTTTGTTTGTTTTTTACTGTAATCGACTTACGTGGATCTTTATCTTTAAAAAGTATCTTATCTAAAATGAACACTGATAAAAAAGGATATGATCTTTTAAAGAATTTGCCAGGTCAAACACAAAAACATTCAGTTCTATTTATCAGAGTTCAAGGACAGAGTGTACTTGCATAACAGAAATACAATAAATACTGACTTTTTCAACTCTAACTTGGTTTTATCTTTTGCCACATAGTTAGGCATTACCACATAGTTAGGCCACACATAGTTAGGTCACAATCATTTATTTTGGCCCAACAATTAATTGTCATACAAATAATTGTGATCAATAATTGATTTCTGACATGTCACTACAGTGTAAGGCTCTTTTTTTTAAAACATGGGATCGTATAAAATATATAATAATAAAAAATATAATTAAATAGGCCTAAATATTATAGTATAACATTATGTAATATTATTACCTTTTTGTACTGTGTACAGTTTTTTTTATATTCTTTGGCAAAATGTGATTGTAATTTAAACTGCACAATTATTGTGTTTATTAATTATTAGACCGAATAACCACTATCATATAATTAATCAATAATCATGACGGGTCTATACATAATTATTTAATATGTAAACCGTTGTATCATTGAACCTCATAAGTAATATAAAATAAATTACTTGAGACAATATTTTTTATTCTACCCTGTAAAAGGGAATGCGGTTCAAAATGATAAAATATTAGCGTAGTATCAAATATTCAAGATGGTCTTTTTGGCTTCATTGGGGATGCTGAATTCTGGTCAAAAGAACCTGAGGGATGCAAACAAGAAAAACATGATAAAGTACAGTCTATTTGGTGCAACCTTTTACATGCTTTCCTTCTATATTTGCAGTTTTGTCTCCAGAACCTAATGCTCTTGTTGAAACTCTACGCAAGCTCCCTACTCTGCACGATGAGCAGTACGCACAACACACCCGACTGTATGACTATTACAAGCCTCCGGAAAACACGCTGGTGCTGCGGTGAGTTCCCACACAGATGTGGAAATATAGATATATAAATGTTTATTCCCACACAGATCAAGTTAGAAATGTGGAGGTGTTGTCCTGTATATAGATCCAGATACTAACTACATTATTCTATTTGTAGACATAATACAGGTTTGAATTGTTGGTTTCTTCTTTAATTACAGCTTTAATGGAATAGTTCTCCCATAAATGAAAATTCAGTCATTATTTACTTGCCCTCACATTTTTGTTCTTGTTGTATTTTTTAAAGACTATCTTTTATAAATTAAATCTTTTAAAAGATAAAATAAAGAAATTGTCTTGTAATTGAAATGTAATTGCACAAGTTTGCTAAACTACATATGAACAAGTTAGCTTGATTTGTGCAATATATTTGCTGGTTAGTCTTAGCACAATAATTTTTGGTAACGCTTCCTTTTACAGTCCAGTTACCCATGTAAATACTATGTACTTATTTTAGTAACTACAATTACTGGGTAATAACTAGTACTAACCCTGAACCTACCCCTAAACCTACCCCTGTTTAACAGTTTTACAGACTGGTAATGTAAACAAACTCAAAATATTATTAAGCAATCTTTGCAAAAAAAAAAAAATTATATATAAAGGAAATTAAAAAATTCTGCATTCTCTATAATAATTTAGACCTCTCCTTTATTGTATCTCCAACAGTGAAGAATACCCTCTCAGAAGAAATAGTATATGCTTTAACACACATATGTGTGTAGAACAGATTATTTTTTAAAACGGTTTGAATGATTGATTCATAAAGACTTTACTTATTTCATTACTGGATAAATCGGTGCTCTAGCAGTTAATAAACAGAACTGCATGCGTCTTGCGGAAGAACTTCTCTCTGTTTATGTCCATGACGAGTCACGCAGGCATTGGGCTACTCCGCAGCAGCTGCGATCCGCCGGCCAGTTTACGTAGTGATTCAAGATAAGACAAAAACACGGTTTGAAAAAAAAAAACATTATGATGCACTCGCTCATTGTATATATTTTGTAAATTCTGAACACAAAAAATATACGGACTGCATCTGTTTTGACCACTACCGTCAATGTTTACTCAAACTATAATCTCACTAATTCTGTAACGGAAATCATTTTTAATATGTGAACAAATAAATATTGAGACTGTGTGATTGTAAAGCAGTTTCATATCGACAACTGCTCTCTCTCTCTCTCAGCGCAAACTGATTTGAATGTAGGCTAGACTGCAGTGTTTCCCAACCCTGTTCCTGGCGGCACACCAACACTACGTGTTTTCTTTGTCTCCCTAATCAAACACACCCGATTCAACCCATCAGCTCATTAACCCACCTGATTATGAGCTGATGGGTTGAGTCAGGTGTGCTTGATTAGGGAGACAAAGAAAACACGCAGTGTTGGTGTGCCGCCAGGAACAGGGTTGGGAAACACTGGGCTAGAGAGTGACTCGGCGGTCGGCGCGCGCAGCGTGCGTGTGTCTGTGTGTGACAAATGCAGCGCGTGTGAGAGCAAATCGCAACTTCAGTGGTGAAGTTTTTGTCATTTAGGAATAAGACGGCGTCTTCTACTCCCAGCACTTCGCCCACATGATGATATCGCATCGGCATCAGAACCGTTTTCGGAACCGAAACTTAGGAATTTTGCACGGTTCCGGTATTTTTTCAAAAACACAACCGGTTCTGGAAAAGAACCGGTTCTCGGTTCCCAACCCTACTTATAATAGCCAGTACTTTCTAGGTACTGTACTGTAAAATGAAGCGTTACCTAATTTTTCACGCTATGAAAATGACAGATGATTGATGACTGAATGATTTGCATAAGTAAATCCACTTTGCTTGCACTTCCAAAGTATGAGGATTCAAGCTCGAATTTATGAAGTAAAATCGACAAGATCTCTGTGAAGTGCCGAGGAAGAGCTAGAGTTGAAATTTAAATATGGTAATATACATTTTGTTTCTGACGCATGATGTAAGCAGTCGACCAATCACAACAGACTGGACTATCCGACCAATCAGAGCAGATTAGGCTCTTGGAAAGGAGTGGTTTAGAGAGACAATGGACTATATGCACGCATAAGTTCCGCATTTGACGTAAGGATGCTCGTCCATTTCCGGTTGTGTAGATTAAAGCGGAGGAAAACCGGAGAAAACGGGATTATGGCAGAGTCTTCAATATTTGCTGTCCTCCCGTCTTTGAAACGAAACATACATACGTTTAGATGTAATTTTATATATAGTTATGTTTATTTAATATAATTTTAAAAAGAAGCATAAACACAACGAGGGGTGTCTGTTTTATCTGTTTTTGTGACTAACGTTTCTTTAGTATAACTATGGAGTATAAAATTCAATATACATTCTCGTATTGCATTGGACTCTATGATCGGCGGAAGTTATCGAGCATCCTTAATCCTTCACCGGAAATAACGCCGTGCATAGAGCCCATTGAGAAAATGAACTTGCCTATGGGCTCTATGCACGGCGTTATTTCCGGTGAAGCATTAGGGATGCTCGATAACTTCCGCCGATCATAGAGTCCAATGCAATACCGAGAATGTATATTGAATTTTATACTCCATAGTTATACTAAAGAAACGTTAGTCACAAAAACAGATAAAACAGACACCCCTCGTTGTGTTTATGCTTCTTTTTAAAATTATATTAAATAAACATAACTATATATAAAATTACATCTAAACGTATGTATGTTTCGTTTCAAAGACGGGAGGACAGCAAATATTGAAGACTCTGCCATAATCCCGTTTTCTCCGGTTTTCCTCCGCTTTAATCTACACAACCGGAAATGGACGAGCATCCTTACGTCAAATGCGGAACTTATGCGTGCATATAGCCCATTGACCTTGGAAGCATGTAAACCTTTAGTTGGAGACCTCCAAAAAATAATAGCATAATAGGGGCACTGTAAGGGGGTTTAAACTCTACACTGTTAAACAAAGCCTGGGCTGCACCCTCCTTCATGTCTTTAGTAGATTTCATGTGGGTTGGGATTTTTGTTTTGTTGCAAAGCCATCAAATCTATTGCTCTATCATTTGTGCGACTAACAAGGGTGGTCCATTATAATATCATCATGAATATTTATGTGGTTTTAGAATATGCCATCCATTTTTAATTAAGACAGGTCGTGCCAATCTGCTCAGTCTCTGTTCTTAAGTGTGTAAAATCCCCCAGCGCTCCCCTCTTCATTACAATAACACCATGAGCCGCCCCAGAGCGATGAGCAAAGTCTGAAGTCTGCTGCTTCACATTTACTCATCCATTGACACACGTGGTTTTTAGTTTAACTACAGAAAATCAGTCAGACTCCGCTGTCAATAAATAATCTATATTTTTATTTTATTTTTTAGTTGATATAGCTAAACTTAAATAAGAAGTTTAAATAATAAGTTTTACTTTACTTTTAGAGCTTGTTGTCAATGTTTGGGTGCTTTTTTTAAGTTAACTTTAATATGTTGCTGTTTTTTTGAAACGTCTTCTCTCTTTTTTTCCACCCCAGACTGTCCAAACAGAATAAGAGGATTGTATATACAGTTTTAGAATACTCCCCCCTCCTCGACTCCTGTAATATGAGCACAGATGACTGGGCCACTATTGGAAAAGACATTGAGGTGCTTCCTTTATGTTTGGCTTTGAGTTGCAGGGCTTTTTGCTTGATTTTTTTTTTTTTTTTTAAATTGCGAATGTGATTGAAATGGTCACACTGTCTAGTACTATCAGTACTGAGATTTTCAAAGTGTTTCCCCTCGTATTTACAGAAACACTATGAGCAATACGATGGTTTTGTCATCCTGCACGGCACAGACACCATGGCTTACACCGCCTCTGCCTTATCCTTCATGTGTGAGAATCTGGGAAAGCCTGTCATCCTCACTGGCTCACAGGTAACATGTTTTAAATGGATCACTTACTCGCCTTTGTGTTGCACAAATTGATAAATAATTTTTTTTTTAAATATGTTTTATTGAGCACCAATCATTCAAAGTGTACACAATGTTAAACAGTACTGATAAATATGAAACAGTGCTTACATATTACACTCCACCCCCATTACACCATCCCTATATGTAATAAATGTAAACATATCATTTATTTGAACGGGAATGACGGCTACATATAAGTGTGTTTTGGAAATGTCACAGCCCTTACCATAATCGAGTTTCAACACGCTACTAACGCAACTCAACCATGGCCCTTTATTTTGAGTAGTCTATGGGCGGTAATGATTAAAATGAGGGATATTTGACAGGTTTGTTCTCAGAAGACAGTTTAAGAGTGCAATCGAGGCATTTCAAGGAGTTCAGAATCAGTGCTTGCTGAAATAGGGAATAACTCCCTTTGGAGTAATTTAGCAGTCTAGCAGTTAGCGTTAGCAGACATTTTTCATGCTCATACAGCAACATTAGTCGAAATGTACAAAAACATAATAGGACCCTTTTTAAAGTTACCTCCATTTTAAACATTTAACCAGTGGTCATCAAAAAAAAGCATCATGATAACTTCACAACCATTTTATATGTTGCAGGTACCGATCTATGAGATGAGGAATGACGGGCGGGACAACCTCTTGGGGGCGCTGTTGATAGCAGGACAGTTTGTCATCCCTGAGGTGAGTTTTGTAATCTCTGTGAGGGACTCCTTTGTAGCAACTACACATGCGTTTTAAAGGAGGATGTTAAGACTGCAGTTTTAAAATAGTTGACAATTTCATTATCAATTAGTTTTAGCATTTAAAACTATTTAACATGAACAAATTGTATTTTAAATGTGGATTTTTTTCTAATTATATTTGATTAAGTGTGGTTTGAAGTGTTTTTTTTAATTATTGTTTTGCAGTGCATTTTGTTTATGACATGCTAATGAAGCATGTTATAAAGTTATTGTAATAAGAATACCGTTAATGTAATAATTGTATTAAAAAATAATTATAAAGAAGTTTAAATTGAGTAAAGGACCAGAAAAAAAGCCCTTTTTGTCGTTCTTCACAGGTTTGCCTGTATTTTCATCATAAGCTGTACAGGGGGAATCGTGTCACCAAAGTGGACGCTGGAAGCTTTAACGCATTTACCTCACCAAACCTGCCGCCGTTAGCCAATGCTGAAGTCGACATCAAAAGTGATTCCAGTTCTGCCAACATTTATGACAGCCTTAATCCCATATATGTCTATTTTAAAATGGAAAATGCACACAAAATGTACTCATGTCCTTCCTGTATTACTTTTTTTCTGCTGCAGAAATTCAGTATGTACGATTTAGGACTGATGCTTTTACAGTTCAACCAAAAATGAAAATTTACTCACCCTCATGTTGTTCCAAACCTGTATGAATATCTTTCTTATATTTTGAAGAATATGAGTAACCAAACAGTTGATGGGCCCCATTGGCTTTCGTATAGAACTTAAAAAAAAATATATATATATATTAAGCATGCAATAACACCCTTTAATGATAATGTTATCGTATGCTTTTTGGAGCTTAAAACGATATTTCACCCAAAAATGTCTTCTGCTGAACACAAATTGAAGAACGTTGGTATTATATTGTAAAAGTGATCCATGAGATTTCTGTTTATCACTTAAATGGCAGTTTCCTGCATAAAGATGTTATATGATATCAGAAGATTTGGAATAGGTCATAAGTACTTTAACAATACTTTATGGTGCTAAGTGTGAAAGCCTAATTGCATGGTATGGAACAACACTGAAGTGAGCAAATTATGACTCTTTAACTTAGTTTTAATATTAGTTTTAGTTTTTTGAATATTGAGGTAAACTAAATTAAAATAAGAAATATTGCATTGCGATATATATATATATATATATATATATATATATATGTATATGTTTATTTAATTTTTTAGTAACAAAACTGTGTTTTGTTTATGGTTTTAGTTTTAGTTATTTAAAAAGCATTTTAATCATTAATTTTGCTGTTCAAAACTATAACAGGACATAGGACATAGTGATGCTTTTGTTTTGTTTTATTCAGATGTAATATGCTTTATTTCTTACTCTTTAGTTAACTGGGACACTGTTTGGCGAGCAAATACAACCACCAAATTCACTGTCCACACACAGTTGAACCGTAATGTGGGTCTCCTGCGACTCTTCCCAGGAATCACTGCTGATACAGTAAGGGCGTGTGGTAATGTCTCCCTTTATTTGACACACATTTTTGCCAAATCTCTTCATTCAGTGCATGAACATGTTCATATTTTTTTTAATTTAGTAAATAATGTCAGAAGTTCAATTTGTGGCTGAACCTTTGTATGTTTCAAATGTTTAAATGAGATCCATTCTCTCACCAGGTCAGGGCCTTCTTGCAGCCTCCTATGGACGGAATCGTGTTGGAGACCTACGGCAGCGGGAACGCCCCTGATAACCGCGCTGACCTGCTGGATGAGATCCGTAAAGCGACCGAGAGAGGAGTCATCATTATCAACTGCACCCAGTGTCTCCGGGGATCGGTCACTACCTCATATGCCACTGGCCAGGTATGGGAGTTTGCTTAAGAAAGGCCTTATGTGTGTGTATTCCAGGAGTGTGTAATTGAATATTCCCTCTCAGGCTCTGATTGATGCCGGTTTGATCGCTGGGTGTGATATGACCCCAGAAGCTGCTCTTTCAAAACTCTCCTATGTGCTGGCTAAACAAAACCTCAGTATCGAAGAAAAGAAGAAGGTATGGAGAAATGTCTCTTAAAAATACTTTTAAATCACATGTGGGTCAATAACGCATACACTACCATGCAGAAGTTTGGGGTCAGTGATAAATCTTCTTGTTTCTGTTTCATTGTAATATTAAGGAGCGCAACTGTTTTCAACATTGATAATAATGCTATTGAATGCTTCTTGAGGACCAAATCAGCATGTTGGAATGATTTCTGAAGGATAATTTCACACTGAAGACTGGACCCCAAAATTAGCTTAGCATCACAGAAATAAATTACATTTTAATATATATCACAATTGAAAACAGTCATTTTACAATTTACTTTTTTTAATATAATAATAATTCCCAATATTATTCTTGTAATGTTTTTTTTAACAAGTTGGTGAGTGTCTTTCATTGAAAAATACTTTTTTCTCTGAAAATATATTTTTTTGAACAGTAGTGTATTAGTGAAGATCAAATTTAAAAGACAAATGTTCTTCGCCATATATTCCTTTAATGTTTGTTTCTTATTATTTTTTACTTTAATACCATTTTCAACAAAATTTTAAGAAAATGCGTGTGGTGTAACCATTTAGTAAATGATATAAAAAAATTGAAAAATGTTTTTTATATATATTTTTTAAAGCTAATAAGTTGTTTTTAAATTACATGAATTATTTAATGTCACACTATGTGACCTTTTACAACCTTTCTTTCTTTCTTTCTTTCTTTCTTTCTTTCTTTCTTTCTTTCTTTCTTTCTTTCTTTCTTTCTTTCTTTCTCTCTTTCTTTCTTTCGCATGTAAGTTTTACCACATGAATTTCATTTGAATGTGAGTTTTTCCAAGTAACAATAAGATAATAATTATTTCTTGTTTTAAATCACTTTAATTAAGCATGTTATTTGTTCCTAAGATGCTGAGTCGTAATCTGCGTGGAGAGATGATAGCTGACCTGGGTGGAGCGAAGCTTTCTCTCAGCGACAGTCGCTTTATTCAGGTTATCGCCAAGTCCCTCAGCATCAGCTGTAAAGAGGTAAGGTAACCTGCACTTTCTCTCTTTCTAACTTTGTTTTGCTCTGGGGTTTTTGACAACTACAAAAAAAAAAAAAAAAAAAAAAAGTCACATTTTTCTGTGGATTTTGCTTATAACACTAACTAGATGATATTTAGCTGAGTGTTTTGGGTCGCCATGTTTTTCTGAATACTATGTGTTCGTACAAACTACTCTTTTGGCTTAGTGTTTTTCGCATACTGTATATAGTAAGGAAGTATTAGATTTCGTCTTTATAAATGGGTCATTGTGTCATTCACTCTATGCTACTTTCAAAAACTCTGAATCTGTTTGTAACGAAACTGCTGTGTATCGTGCATAGTGTGCGTAAGGAGCTTTCGCACCATTGGAAAGTTTTCATAGTTATAACTTTTGGCGGAAGTACTGGCTTTTTGCCATTTTTGGGGGAACTAAATTAGGTCCGACTTCAGAGTAAGTTCTAACCCAGAACATAAGGAACTCCCAGTGACTTGAGTGTACAGTACGTTGATTGGCTGAATATATGCCATAGGAATCACCTTTTTTTTTTTTTTAACAAGCACTGTGTAAATGCATATACTGGCGTTGTGTTCTTTTCTCAGCCTCTGATATAGAGCACTGCATGTTGTCCTAGGAGTTTTCGTCTCTTAGCTTTCCCTTTTGCTCTTTCAATCGTATAATTTATACATCTACATTCCAAATCCCACAACACACAACAAAAGCATAGCTATGTTCACGGCATCCTCCATCCTCCAGTCATTGAATGGCGCTCTTAAATGACATTAGCTGTCGGCTTAAATTACTTTAGAGTTCCTACTGGTGGTGTGGAAAATGGCCTTAGGGGAACGTTTAGTTGTCGGAGGATCAGTTCCTATAACTACTCGGTGCGAAAGCCCCTGTATAGTGTACACCCCTACTTGGAAGTGATTTTACTGTATTTTATAAACTATGATGATTACAAAACCTACAAGCATATAAAGAAGCAGAAGAGGCTGTGATGAACAATTGTGGTTAACTCTAATATTACTGATGTCCACAGGAGCTGGAAGCCATACGAGATGCACTAACTCCCACTCTGGTCTGCGTTGCTGCTAAGATCGGAGACATTGAAGCTTTGGAGGCCATAAGGGAAATGGTAAAATATTGATTCATGTTTGGATTCACTCATTGAGAAAGGCAAACTCTGACTTGTAAAAAGTGGAATCGTCCAACTCAACTTTTTTATTATAATAAAAAAATGATGTATGCATGCAATCAAGGAAGTATTAAATGCAGTCTAGCAAAATAAGATGTGGGTAATGACTCATAAGTTTCTATTCAGGGCTCTGACTTGAGCATGGCAGACTATGATGGGCGCACTCCTCTCCACATCGCTGCATGTGAGGGGCATCTGAAAGTGGTGGAGTATCTGCTGAGTAAAGGGGCGACAGTCTATGCCAGAGATCGCTTTGGCGATACGCCACTTCGCAATGCTGTCCGCTTCAGGTACGTAGGACTGAGTTAAGTGTCCAAATAGTTTTGGGACAACAAAAAGTAATTGCCATAATTTCAAAGTTTTGACTTAACTACTTTCTGCGTAATTTATACAGTCTTTAAGGCGAACTGGACCACTGGTTTTAAACTGGTGGGCGCGACCTGTAAATGAGTTCTGACGCAACTCGCCACATAATCATTTATTGTTAGCATAGCATTAATTCACCCTCATTCCAAAACAATGGTTGTGTCCAAATTCAAAGGCTGAATCTTTCGAAGGAGGCAAATTTCAAAAGCCACGCCAGCGAACTTCATCCACTCACTCAGGCTGCGAATTATCCACTCATTCTGTCTTTTGTGGTTCGGGGAAAGATGGATGCACTTGTAGGCCGCATTCGAATGCTGCCTTTGAAATATTCAGCCTCTGATTTGGGACAATGACCTTCTTTCTTATGTAAAACACAAAAGGGGACTTGTAAGGTGAACACATGTGACTGTAAATATATATCTATTTTTTGTCTGTAGGCATAAGGATGTTGTGAAGTTGCTGAGGAAGACTGGAGCTCATTTTTCCCAGGATGAAATTGTTGATGCTGGAACAGAGTTGTGCAGGTCTCATTCCTCTCCATCCATTCTTCTCTTATTGCTTTTATAAACTTGTGGACATAGCAATTTAATAAATGACACAAGTGTCCGTTTTATTTTTATTATTATTAGTAGCAGTAGTAAGCAGTGGTTGTAGTTCATTACAATTCTTCCGTTAGGTAGTATAGTTAAGCTTAGGGTGGATTTTTAAATGGCACATTAAGTTCAATGAATGTGCGATCACAAATATGAGCATCTGTTTTTTTTTTTTTATATATATATATATATATATATATATAGAACTAATATACAGATCAGTGTACTGAGCACATAGCAGAACGTCCTATGTTAAGGTTGATGATTCTAATGTGTGTTTTACAGTCTTGCGGCGAGTGGCGACTTGGAAGGATTGGAGACTTGGCAGCTAGCTGGGGCTGATCTGACCATGTGCAGTTATGATGGACAAACACCCATTGAAGTGGTGAGATAATGATGGAGATCTGTGTGGAATACACAATTATAACCAAACAATTGATGCCTTCAGTGAAATTTTATTCTTATGACTGTATGAATGGAAATACAATACTTTTTTTTTTGTTGCATTGCCTAAAAATGACTTCTGCATTGTCAAATATGTCACTGTAATGTATTTTAAAGATGCTTTCTGTAAATCAGGGGTGTCCAAAGTCAGCCCTAGCCACTGTCCTGCAGGGTTTAGCTCTAAGTTGCCTCAACACACCTGCCTGGAAGTTTGACCTTAGCTGTGTTTTAATATTCCCTACATTACTCCATTAATATAGCCTACTTGAAGGAGTGAATGAAAACGAGTGAGGGAATTCAGACACTGAGTGCGCCGGAATCGAGTCGCGGGAAATCATTCGGCATGACCCTCACAGTGCGGTATTCTCTGGCCGTTGAGTGGGCATCAGTTGTTGAATGAGTGCACTCTGTAATGTCCACTATGGGTTTAGACACCACTACAAATGGCTGTCCCTTCAAATACTGCCCTATGTAAGGTTATAGTGGGCGATTTCGGACACAGCCCTGTGATTCGCTGATTAGCTTGTTCAGGTGTGTTTGATTGGGTTTGGAGCTAAACTTTGCAGGACAGTGGCCCTACAGGAGCAGGATTAGTCAGCCCTGCTGGAAACTTTTATTAATGGGCTTCTCTCACATGTAGGCAAGAGCCACTGGATGTGAGGAGGCTATTAACTTCTTACAACAGTACCTGTTGGCTCAGTACCAAACTCAGGTAGGGAACAAAAACTAATATGTACTGTAGTCAACATTTGAAGTGGATCAAACCCAAAATCAAAATTGAAGTGGACTTTCATCAGTTATACATGAATTTCTTGTCTTAGGACAACTTTGATGGACTTTTTTGATCCACTTCAAATGTTGACTGCTATATTAATATTATTAACACAAAAAAACTGCAATGGAAAATGTCATGTGGTGCAACTCCTTTTTTACATATATTACATAAAATAGTTTACAATCTTAACATTACATAAAAAACCTTGAAATAATGATATAGATGTATACGCTTACAGCGATAAGAATGTTATTACCTTTTATTTAACGGTTTCACCACATGCCATGTTTTAGAGTCATTCAATTGAAACTTTTAACAAAATGTTTCAAAAACCACATGAAACCTAAATTTGAGGTTTTTGCCTTGTTTTATTTGGAATGATTGTGTGGTATGTTATGACATGCATTTGTGCATTTATTCAATTAACAAGCTGCATACATATTAAGACATTTTGATTTATTTATATAGCATGTATATTACTAAAGCAAGTTATGCATGTCAACTCCCCAAAATAATTTTGTTAACTGAAATATTTAGTATATACATTTCCACAGATTAAGGAGATGAAGTTAAGATTTTTTTTTTTTCATAAAACATCTTTTTACTGATGCGCTTCACTTTCCAGTTTCAGACAGATGAGAGTAATGAGGTAAAACAGTTAGTCATTTTTACCCATAAGAGTAAAATGAAAACACATTTTTGATCATTTCATGTGATAAAAAATGTAGGTTACACTTTATTTTAAGGTGACGTAGTTACATTATACCTAAATAAGTACTGAGTAATATTAATTAACTACATGTGCTACTATAGAGTTAGGGTAAGGGTTTGGTTTAGGGTTAGTAATTATGCAAAATTTATAGTAAGAACATGTAGTTGTGTAACTACGTCACCTTAAAATAAAGTGTTACCAAAATCTAGATGTATGTATTGTACACACTCAGTGTATGTATGTGTGTGTTTTTTTTTTTTTATAAAGTGCATGCTTCAGAGTGATGCAGAAGTGCATGTCTCAATGTTAGGGCTGTGAGTTGATCTCTCATGGTAAAACGATACATGTTCAGGCTTACAGTAATTAATTGCTTGATGGGCATCTTGATGTTTCCTAATTTAGTGAATGGTCTTGTCTTGTTTGTGAAACATCCACCTGTGTGATAGCCACAATGTTCAGTCTTTGTGACATGCTTATTGTGTAATTAAAGTTACCAAAAATCAACATCTTTCAAAAAATCCCTCGTCTTTTTCTTGCAGCCAGTATTTGAGGGGGATGAGGATGAGGTAAATTGTGTTGAGCTGTATAGTATTCATCTGTTCAGGTGCAGTCATGCTTTATGCTGTTTGACCATTTTATATCATAAATTGCGAATGGTTGTGAATTAGCTGCCATAATGACAGATTGAAATTGCACAGTGTTGACAAAACAGAAAATAGTGCTGAAACCTGAAACTGGTTAAACGCATAAAAATGTGCATTCAGATCATTCCATATAATAATAATAATAGACATTATGACTGCAATGTTCATTTTGCATATGGATTATTGCATAACTGAAGTGCAGAGCTCATGTAATGCTTACACTATTCTCTTTCTGTCTGTTTTCTAGAATGGCGAGTTTACCACTTGTCCTTGATCTCGAGGAGGCCGTCCTTCTGTCTGTCACTTTCTGCCCTTATCATCCATCCAGTTGCTTATTTTTAGCAGACGAACAGTAGATTTTCCCCACTTAGACAATTATTATCTTAAAGGGGTCATATGATGCTATTTTAAAAGTGAATTATTTTGATTATTGGGTAGTATAGAATAGGTTAACATGCTTTAACGTTTAAGTTATTGCAGCCCCTTTTTTCCCAGTCTGTCTGAATCGTGCTCGTTTTTTCTAAACGTTGTGTATCGGCGGTGTTGTACTCTCCCAGGTTCAGGAAGCTGTCCTCTCTAAAATGTGCCATGTACAAGCAAAGTTTTGGGTTGTACTGATAAACCTCTGAAAGCAAAAGCAGTTTTGCTCACACATCCAAACACAAATGACGTTAACACTTCAATTCACCGAAGCCTCATCTTCTAACTTTGCGCTTTGTAACTTTGCTGATCATATACAACTGATCGCACAAACAGATATATTACACACTAAAGGAAAACAATGAAAAGCATCATATGACCTCTTTAAAACATAAAGAGCACAAGCCATAATATTTTAGATCCGTCCCTCTAAAACAGTGAGCAATCAGATATGAATGTATGTGATGTTGACATTAAAACAATCATATGTACAAGCACATTATTCAAATTACATTACAGTACAGGGTACTGTATCTCGTGATGTCCAACAATATGTAATCATTTAAAAAAAAACAAATATATATATAAATTTATTGTTTAGATTTCGAATGAATTTCGATATTTGAGGCTGTCAGAATGGCTGTTATGTCCTCATCCAGTGTTTTTCACATATCAGATTCACTATTACCTCAGTGCTGTCACCTTTATTGGAATGTACTTTTAATAGCAAAAAGTCATAATTGTAGTGAAGAGTAAGGATGGTTTTACAAACTGTATTTACAGAGAAGCAAACCAAACAAAGTGTCTGATGTTTAAGAAATGTTTAGTTTTCTGTTGAAAGTAAAATAACTAATTGCCCTGTGAGTGACTACACTGAAAACAATGTTTGTGAACCAAAATATAGAGGACCAGCAGGTTATTTAGTTTTGTTGTTCAGTAAATCTGTGTTTTGTATTCATTCGAGGCATTGTTGAATTCCTCAGTGAACGTGTTTTATTAAAGTGTTTTAAAGTGTTAAACCTCAATCAAATTGTTTTGATCCATTTTTTAATTGTTGTTATTGTTGCAATAAAAATACAAAAGCATATGGTTATGCTTTTTAAAACATGCAAATTAACATGCCTGCTTGTACTTTTCTTGTACTTTTTGTTGTCATTATGAAACGGCAATTAAATGTGTTTTGTTGCTAAATTGTGAAATGAAATTCTCATGTACAAAGAGAAAATATATTGAAGTGGATCGTACAGAGCGCTACAACGCACTTGTAGCCAATTTAGCAGCAAGGGGGCGTGTCCAGCAGCACGGGGGCGTGTCCACTCATAATGGGGGAGGAGAGAGAGTAAGCAAGAAGGAGATTTAATTTTGAAGAAAGACTGTCGAAAGAGATATAGCTGAGAGACATAACAAAAGAGAAAGGTAACTTTAAGAGGAATATCACTGGGAAAATAAGTTTAGGACCCGCATTACTATATAACATAGTTCCCACAGGCAAATTATTGTCACGTACTCATGTCATAAAGGTTGGCATTATTATAAGGTCCAAAAAAAAAAAACAAAGTGAGGCAATATAATCCACAACTTAAGTAGAAGAGAACAAGTTATTTTCACACATTTAAGAACAGGGCATTCAAATCTAAATCATACTTTACACATTATAGGGAAACATGACACAGGTTTATGTGAAGTATGTTCAATAGAGGAGACAGTAGAACATATGTTGGAGAAATGTAAAGCTTATAATAAAAAAAGGAGGGTTCTTAAGGAAGAATTGAAAGCAGTAGGGTGGCAAGAATTCACTATAACCAAATTATTAAATGATGGTCCAAATTCAGGAAAAGAAATAAAGGCAAACATGAGGTTTATTAATAATAGTGGGTTATATGATAGGATTTAGGCGAATTTAGTTCATTCTTTTCACACTCCATCACAGTAGGTGGCGGTATGCACCTTTAAAGTTGGATCGCAACCCGCCATAAAACCAAAAGAAGAAGATTATTGTCACGTGACCTCCTCGGAGACGCCATCTTTGAGGGCATAACTGCTGTGTTCAGACTCAGAGAATGTCGTTTTTCAAACAAATATTTATTTCTGTTTATAGTGTTACGCAAATCATGAAGAGACAAAGTGAAATAGATTATAAAGAGACTATTAAAACAAGACAGAGAGAAGTACAATGCGAGCATTTCATTCTGGTGCGGATCCGTAACGTTATGTAGTAAGTTAACGAAGGAAGCACTGAGCACGATTATGCAGCTTTGCCTCAGATACAGTATTTTCATGTGTACCGTTACCTTCACCAGCAGCAGCAGGTGATTACCATTTTCACTTTTTTTTTTGCACGAAACTCTTTTTTTGCACGAAACTCGTTTTGTTTCTTCCAGTGTTTTGCCCTCAGCAATGGCGCCGGGTCGGTAAATGCCCGTATGTGTAGGAACTATGTATTAGAATAGCTTTCCTTCCAGCGCTGGAGAGACCAAACAAGCAAACACATTGCAACACATTCTCATCCCAAGACATCAACTAAACTGACGCTTTTGACCAAACGTCAACATCCGACGATACAGGCCTGAAAACGGACGTCGAGGTTGTGTTGTTTCTGCTCCATAGGTGAGTAACATTTCAGTAGCTGTATGTTCATTTGTTGTTCCTTGTCACTTGTCAGTAGACAAGTATTTTACCCAAGTAAAGATTGAATTTAGGAGTTTATTAACATAACAGCATTCATCAACTAGGCCCATCAGTTGTGGTAAACAGTTGTTTATTTGCTTGACTTGCTAGAACCTAGGTTCATTCTCTGGTTACGCAGCACCTTTGAGCTTTGTTCGTTCTTGTCAAGCAGGTTCAGTGAGCTTCTGTTTATGTCCACTGATCAATATGTGAATAAAAGCCTGCTCATCATATAAAGTGATCGGGTCTCCACAGAAAATTTGGACTGAACTGCTCCGTTCACCTGGATTAGTTTCACAATCTTTTTTTTTTTTATGAAGTGTCGTGGTACTTGCGTAGCTGTCAATGAGGAAAGAAATTGCTCAAATTTCATAAAAAATATCTTCATCTGTGTTCCAAAGATAAACGGAAGTCTTGTGATTTTGGAATGACATAAGGATGAGTAAATTATGACAGAATTATCATCTATGGGTGAATTATACACTAAACAATGTTGGGGACCCGTGGGGGATTTTGTAGACAAGTTGAGCAACACTCCCCATCCAACATCATTCACGAGATTGTCCTCCAGGAACAGAATAGATGTGACATTTTTTTTTAGGTCTACCTACATTATTATTAGATTGAAGAAGTCAATTTATTGTAAAAATGTTTGGCTAATTTATTATGCGTTACCTAATGTTAACATTTTTTTTAATTGTTACTACTTTATATTAGAGTTATACAAAATAAAGTTTGGGGGAGTTTCCACATTAGATGACTGACTAAAATGATCAAATGACTAATAATCAAAGATGATTTATTTTGCGAATGACATATCAGACAACACGCTGTCTCATACCCATAGGAGCATTGTTTGGTAAATGAGACACTGACATTTAAGCACACTTTATGTTTTTTCTTATGGTACACTTTCATTTAAATGAACACAAACATATGTTCGGGCTCCTCTGAGGGAGGCTGCTTTGAACAGGCTTTTGCGTGTGTGTGTGTGTGTACGCGCCCCTGCTGTTCTATTGATCCACTGAACAAGGCCTGGGCTGCACCCTCCTCCATGCCTTTATTCACTGGGAGGGGTTTCTGTTTAAAAATGGAGAGATTAAAGAAATCTTTTCAACAAGCTTTAAGCAGCCACATGACACTATTAGCTCATCTGTGCACCTTACAAGGGTGGCCCAATGTAACGGCACTTTGAGGGCCACATGAATATTTATGCGCTTTTAGGATAAGCCGTCTGTTTTTAATTCGAACATGGAGGTCGTGCAAATCTGGCCACTAAATGGGGAAAATCCCCCAGCGCTCCCCCAATAACCCCCCACTGACACGATGCACATCCAGAAAAATCTGAATTTCGCATCTTTACAGCATTTGCTCATCTTTTCTCTCACTCTCTAAAGATAGTAATCATTGTGCCTTTCACTCGAGGGAACGTCCCGCTGCTCAGGCAGACGAGCCCCTGAAAGGGATTAAACCCTCACCCCTTACTTTTTTTTGTGTGTGAATCTGAAGTTCATCCATTTCTGATTTGTCCATTTTTTTTTTTTTAAATTGGCTTAACTTGTGTTGCTTGACTTTTGAAGAAAATATCAAATGTGTGTTGTCTGCAAATGGGTCTCATTTTGTAATTTTCTTTCTTTAGCTCACCTCAGACCTTAGAATTGCTGGACTCCAGCAACATTATCCCAAATGACTGGTCAGTTATTGGAAAAGACATTGAGGTTCACTTTTGACATTGGCACTAATAACATAATATGAATATGTTCTCTTAAGATAAAAATATATATATATATATATATATATATATATATATGTATGTATCATTTTTTTTATTTAAATTTGAGATATTAAGGCAGGATACAACCGGCAAAACCATTGTGTTTTTCATGCACTGGTCAAAATTGAGCCATTTTGCATTCATAACTTCTCTTCTTTCAGACTAGCAGAGAAAGAAATCCAAAATAGACTTTTAAACGTTTATTTTATTACACTTCTTATTTAATTCTTTGTGGAGATTTAAAGTATCAGGAATACAATGAATTTGTCATCCTTCATGGCAGACCGTTCTTATTAGGTATATTGTAGGTTTTAAAGTAGGTACAGTAAATGTTTTATACTTTAATAATTCTGTTTTTAAGAAGACTTCTCATAGCAGCTGCCGAAATTGTGCGTTGTTGTCTTTTTATGTGGCTATCTCTGAGACGAGGAGTGATGGGAATATCTACCTCTTGGTGGCGCTGTTGATCGCAGGACAGTTTGTCATCCCTGAGGTGAAAGAGGCATGTACACAGATGTTTTTGTGCCATTTGCAAGTGCATGATCTAGTCCTTATTCAGAGCAGCACCATGACGGGAATGAAAGTGAGGCTGTGAGGGATAGACCTACGGTGTTTCCAATGGCATCCGGTGTAAAAAGCCGAATAAAGCGGCTATTACTTACAATTTTCCACAGCTTACATTGTCGGGAGTTTTTTGTCAACTGACATTTCTTTGAAAGATATTTTTCCAGGGTTTCATGAGCAGAACAATCCGAAAACACATTAAATAACAGTACAGCCCATTGAAGAGATGCAAGTCTATCCCTCACAGCCTCGCTTTCACTCTCATTAAAAATAAAAGATGGCGCTGCCGTGAATAAGGCGTATAGGCAAATATTTGTCGTCTTTTTCTTATTTTATTTATTTAATTTTTTTGGCATAACATACATTTCTACCGAACACTTTATTCAACAAAGTTTGTACAAACAAAGAAAAAAACATCACATTATTTACACAAAATCTTGAATTAACTTCTGATTTTGCCATTCACATTTAACTCTTCGATTTGTCATTTCTGTTGCTCAGAGTGACATACTGTACATAAGTGCAACAACCATGTAGGTTCGTGAAACAAGTCAGTACAAGTTCATTCGGCCCATGCTAAGGTTTTTCTAATGAACGCTGACAACTGTGTCAACTGAATCTGAAGGAAAATACCATGACATGCAATAAAGGACATGTAAAATTATGATGCACAGTTTGGACAAGAAAAGCCCTCTGGAAGTTTTAAAGCATTCGTCTGACAGAACCTGCTGCCTTTAGCCAATGCTGTCGACCTTGACATTGATTCAGTTCTTCCATTTACGCACTATTGCAATCAGATGTCTGTCTAAGCGACTAATGCTTCTGGGTCTGCAGAAATGCAAATATACATTTGTTTTATGCTCATTAAAACTGAGCATAAATAGCAACTATTCATTATTTGGCAGTTTAACTACCTTTTAAACTAACCTTACTTATGTTTATTTTATTATTTAGCCTATGCAATTATATAAAATCTGCAGTATTGGTGTTTCAACTGATAACAACTTTTTGAGTTTGTTTTTTTTTAATATATATTTATAAATGTCATATCACTATCTTTGTGTACTCTAAATGTGCTATATTTTATACATTTCTATATACATTAGTTAGTA